ATGACGTTAATAAATAGTTTATTGGATTTCTAGAAATCATAAGTGGCACACGGTGTTAACCCGATTATTTCTTGAAAGCGATATGTGTTCCGTCACCGATGTTGATTAGAGCTGAGTACGTACGATCATCATTAAAAATCTGAAATATATGATTCAACTCTAGAATAGGGAAGGCTGAACTGAAATCTATGAGAGTAAAATGCACCTTTTTGTTGGTATCATCAATTGCTTTAGTGTTATTATCGAACGTGGAGGGATCCTCGGCTACACGTCCATGCCAGAGCGCCTTCAACAGAATAACAGTTAAGCATGTGTAGGCTTAGTTTTCTGTCTTTTTTTCATATATAAACAGAGATCTAAAGCAGATGAAGCTGACCTTCAAAAGAAAAGACCTCTATGAAGTCAATGTCAAAGATTTTTGTCTTCTAATAAGACTGCAGTAACTTTATAGATCAGAGGAAATTGATAATTTCGAGGCCCGTTCTCGTTAAACCTTTTAGCAAGAGTGCAAAATTCCAGGTTGCAAAAAGATACATGTGGATTATGCCACCGGAGGTCCCACGTTTCCCCAAATAACGCATATCATTTCCTTAATCCATATTTTTTACTAGTACATACTCGAATAGAAATAGAGTTTACGACCAAACGTTATGAGTTTGCGAACGCATTCGGATAACTTTTAGGACTTTGCAAATAATAATAGTTTCTTACATTATCAATCATTATAACACCGCCCTTCCTCAAAAGTGTGACGGCACGGTCGTAGTAGGAGGTATAGTTGAGCTAAATATACAGATGATAAGCGTGGCAAATAAAACTAATAAAATGGACCTTGTCAGCATCGATGAAGGCAAAGTCGAAAGTGCCGCTTTGTCCTTCAGCAATCAATCGGTCTGAAACATTTTGTATGCCAAAATCTCAGAGTAAAAAAATCATTTTCGATGGATTCACCTAAGCTGTCCAGAGCAGGCCCCTCAACCGTAACAATTCGATCAAGGACTTCTTTGTTTTTCGATATGATGGGAAGGCCGAATTTTTTGTAGTTCTCGAAAGATACGTCGAAAGTGTAGACCTGAACAATGAAGTAACAACGCAGGTATAGGCTAACGCATGTGACGACAATGTTGTTCCTACGGTGCCGATATTTACCTACAACACTTGCGCGTGAATAAATTACTGAAGAAACGCCCCCTATGGTCATTTTACAGCCAGTCAACGCCATCAAAGACGTAGCAATTTGTTCACGCGCAAATGTTGTTGGCAAACTTTGACACCGCAGAAACACTATATGCCAGATCTACCTGCTTATACGTATATACCTCTTCGCCTTACCTTTCCGCCCTCACCAGTAGCTAAGGCCCATGCCAAAGCGGACGCACCAGTAAATGTTCCTACATCAAGGGCTTTTTTCCCTCCTATCAAGTGAATAAAGTTTTCTCCAAGCGTTAGCACCTGAAACACTGTTGATTTACTAGATCGCAGATTTCGTTGAAAATTTTTCACGAAGCAAAATACCCACCTCTGGTGCTCCTAACATTCCAGCATGTGGAGCATTTTCTAGTGTTGCTTTAGTCAGTTCTTCTTGTAAACGATGTTGTTTAATAGTATGCTAAATTCGTTGTAAATTACCAAGGATATATCTACAACCTTTGATTTGACTCAAAGTAAGAAAGCGTATAAAGCAGAAACCTTCCGGAAAACAACGAACCTTGCCGCAGTAGCCAATGACCGAATTATTGTCTTTGTTATGGTAAGATTTTGCAACAGTTCCCATATCTATATCAGAGAAATTGAAAAATCCAACTGCTATTGTTGCGGTCGATAGAAGATAGGCCATGTAGCAGAGGAAAG